CTGTCGGGGCATCGTCGCCCCCGGACGACGCGTCAACAGATGCTGCGTTGGGTGTCCACCTCGCGACAAAGAGTGTTGGTCGTTTCCGTCCGACGAAGCCCTCGCCATAGTCGGGTAGAAAATGAAATTTCGCAAGGGGATCGTCGCCCTCGTTCTCGGGCGCGTTCGCTTCGGCGGTGTAGACCAATGACGTCTCGGAAGGGGAAAAGGCAAGCGTCGAGAGCTGATCTGGGAGTTTGCAGACATTTGTTGGGCAGGCTGTATCAGCATGCGTAAGAAGGACCAAAGGCTCACCATCGGTGTAGAACGCTCCGTGGGCCTTGGCCACATTGACGGACGCCTCCAACCTCTCGTCGTCCCATATCTCCACGAACCGGTTCTTGTCTCCGGAGCTGGTTTCGCGAAGGATGGCGGTCAGTTTTCCCGAGGGTGAGGTCGCCGAAACGATGACTTCAGGAGACACGTCCTGGGCAGCCGATGCAATCGCGGTGAATGTGCCATCGGACCGATTGGACCGTATGAAGAACGTCTTGCTTGTCGTCCGCTTGGAATTTCGTGTGTGGTCCTGCGAAGATGATACCACTTGGACGACTATCGTGTGATGCGTTCTGTATGGTAAGATAACTGGGAAGATGATCGATGCAACGCACCCTTGTCGGAAAGGAACCGCGCAGAAGCGTACGCGGGAATGCCTGACAGCTCTGTATACCAATTCTTCGTGTTTCTGCTTGAAGCAGCCATGGAAGAGTGAAACCAAAGAGCGTGGTCGTGTGGATAGCCTTGGATGGGTGAAAACGTTTTTGGAAGGAGACTGTAGGCCTGCTGAAGCTCAGCTGAGGTGTCATTCTAAGATCTAGGCCAATGCCAAGGCCTCCGTGGTAATCCTTCCGAGACAGTCCAGAACGCTTGGAGGTAGCGTCGTTCAACGTGACAGCTCGGAAGTGAGCTCCAACCTCGGCTACATTCGACACGAGTCGCACCCGGGCCCTCGATCCATACCCTCAGCTCAGTTTGACCTGTGCCCCAACAGGGCACACTACAATGCTAATATCAGAAACCATCTGGTGTTTTGTTACCCCCCCAATCCCGAAAACGGCTCCAAATATTTCTTCCAGAAGATGGAGGGATATGACCACCACCCAAGGGTCGAGGCATAACTGGCTACGATAAGAAAAAGAAGAGGAAGCGTAGAGCGGGTCCAGACGCGGTATCATGATCGTGCGACTCACCGCCCTTTGGTCTGGGCCTGCAATTGTTCATGGAGCTCTTTACGTGAGTCTACGAGTGTTCTTTAATTCCTGTCGATGTATTTGCGGAGCACCGCAACTTAACTCACATACTAGTATACGAAGTAGATCCCCGGCTCCCACGACAGCCTGAGCTCATCTGTTCGAGCTAAGGCAGGAGGCAGTGGCGGCCGTCTGTTATCGCAATCGAACACATGGGCTCACAAGATACTGTAGATGTGCTCTCCTGCTCTCCGACTCCGACAGTTACATTTCCCGGACAGTGCGGCCCACCCTCAAAAAGGTCGGTAGGATCTCATTAGTACTCTGCGCGAGCGTCGTACCCGAGTAATGCGAAGTCATGCCATTACTGCCGCAGAGCAGACCCGCAGTGTCCACCAGGGGTGGACCCGCGGTTCTAGCTGGACGTCTCACAGTCGCCGGCGTGCCTGCCAGCTGCCTGGCACGCATGACTGCCGCAACGTCCTCCACGACGCAGATCGCACCGCGCGCACGCGCGGTGTTGATGAGCTATGCACCGGGCTTGCACCTGGCAAGTAGATGATCCATGTTGATCAGGCCGTGCATACCTCTATGCGGTGGCGCGTTCACGGCCACAACGGCGCACTGGGACATGAGCTCCTAGAGGCCGGTTAAGAAAATTCAGCCATGTGTTGGATGCCCTGATACGCCGTCGCTCGCTGAGGAAGACTAACCTCAGCGTCGACAGAGAGCGGCTTGTAATCGTGGTCAAAAGGCTCCTTGCAGTTGAACGGAACGAGTGCTGCCGTACGCGGGAGCCAGTGTGCCCTAGCCTACCGATGGATTCCGCGTCCCGACTTGTGATTTCCGTTCTGTCCCGCCCACTTTCGGAGACACCTAATGGCAGCTCTAATTATTGCGGTGCCCCAGCAAGGTCCAGGCCGGGCCAACACTGGTATGTCTGCGGATATCGAAAAAAAAACGGACCAGATCGCTCTCCGTAGGCTAAAATCATGGGCAGAACAGTCGGCTGAGCATTTAGATGAACGGCGATCTAGGGATGTAAGTAGGTATACAACATGTACTACGGGATTGTACTGTACAAGAGGTCAAAAGTCCGTGACCCAGCACGGCTTACGCACAATTTATGCGGAGTTCTGGAAAGTCATATTTGCCTGGTATAGCATTCTCGCACCCAGAGCGATCTCTATGGGAATTGCAATTGACCTGATCGTTTGCGGTGCGACAGCAGCGTAGGCAGAAACGGTTTAGTGCGGGTTCAACGCTGGGTTGTTATCAATACACAATCCGTTTCGAGAGGAACCGAGATTACGCACAGCTGAATAAAGCTTGCTCCCTGGCCACCAAACGTGCACTGAGCCCCATTTGGGAAGCGCACATCCAATTGCCCGCCAGTGTCACTTGGGTCCAACTGGAACTTGCTTGCGTCGAGACAGCCGGTGACCTAGAACAGATACGCTAAAGCTGAGATCATCTACTAGAGGCTCCATCTATAAATATGGAGGCTGTCACTGACTGTCAATATCACCCCTGAACAGCCGGTGATAGACTCCATTTTTATAGATGTAGGAGGAAGGCGTCGTACCTGAATCCACGAATTGTCATCCGCACTCTCGAACGAGGCGGCCGTGATGAAACCGTCCGGCATTCTATTCTGGCACAGATAGTTAGAGCTCCCAGGAGCACAGAAGGCCTCGGCATCCATCTCTGCGTCGGATACGAGCTCTAGTAGAATGTTGATTGCGGCGAAGCGCACAGGGCCAAGACGAACATACCGCCAGGCCTTGTGGGGAGTAGAAGTGCAAAATCCTTCTCGTTCGAGATGAAGACTGTTGTCCGAACAGAGGGCTCACCCGTTGGCTCTGGTGTCGGTCGCAGGTCCAAGTCCTGCTGTGTGGTCCCAGTGGCGTCTTGGCGGTGTTGTAGCACCGCCGCCCAGGGCTTAGAGGGTCGAGTGTGAGAAGTTGAGATATCTGAGTCTTTCCGGAAGCGAGAGAGATGAGAAGAAGTGTTTCTTGGAGATCCAGCTACGGGAGAACGAGGGTACGAATAGAGTGGGTTCGGACGAAGACTGTACGGGTCAGACCAGTGATTACGAACGCCAGCGCTAGTGAGAGCAACGCCATAAGCGAGGCCTGCCAAAAGTAGCGTAACAACAAGAGAAGTGTGCATCAAGAAAATAGTCGCCCTGCAACTGGGTATTGTTGAATTAAGACCTGAAGGAAGAGTTGTTCGCGAGTGGTGACGCCCGCTTGACAAAACAAAGTATAGTAGAGCAGGACACTGGCAAACAAGTCCATCGTCAACCAAACATCTTTTGCGCAATCAATGTTTCTGCCTCAACCACCTGTGCCAGTCTCTGACATCCAGTTCTATCACACTCAGGCTCGTAATCGAAGCGAATGTCGGAGATTCGGGGTGCCAAACATGTTCCTCATACCCTGTGCATGTTATTAGAACTATAGACAAGGAACCTCAGATGCGATATAACAATCTGTATTGCACCAGGGACCTATAGACAAGGAACTAGGGTACATGTAAGCGACAGTAGTGTTACGATGGTCTAGACACACTTACCCTCAGATGCGATATAACAATCTGAGGGTTACTACGTGATTATCGCGCCTTTTTATCTATTGGTACGCTATGTATTCCTGTCCCTATAAGAGTGATCTGTGGTGTATTAGAAGTGGTCTGACGTGTTCTGGTATATAATGGAACGGGACGGCGTCGAGAGATCGCTCGATCTCGTTCTGATACATGTCCTCGGGATACGTGCAATACAGTAGTCCATAACTTATGTGGTCTACCAGACGTTATATTCACTAGTAGATAGAGCAGCTACACGTGCCCATTGTTGCTTCGCCCACGATCATTCGGGAAGGACGGCGTATAGGTTGTGCAGCCCAAACACGCGAGGATGATGATGCTCTGTCCGCCATTTATATGCTTGTTCATCTTCGATACTGGCTGAAAGGGTCATGGCCGCCAAGATTCCAACAAAAATTATTTTCCTATCAAGATGCATGGGTTTTGCTCAACAGCAACTATGGGTTATTGGGTATTGGAGAGTTATGGGTTATGGGCAAAATTCCCCGCATATTACCAATTCCGTCATTCCAAAAACCGAGAGAGTATGGATTACTGTACTGTACTGTAAGTGAAAGGATTTAAGGGATCACACGAGGAATGACGGGGGGTGCCCGCCGAACAGTTAGTTCGTTCTCCTAAGCTACTAGCGTGCTTAAGTACAGTACAATATCTATGTATATAGTTGTTTATCTTATCAATGCGCTCAGAATCGATCTGATAGCATCCGAGCGCACCCGGACGTCCCTTATACGTGCATCCGGTCTGAGGCTGCCGTCGCTCTGATCTCCGGCACCCTATTACGCACGGCCGGTTGCTGGTACCGGGTTGCTTCTCCCCTAACAGTAAGAGAGAGTCGACTGTAAAACGCTTGTGAGGTCTCGGCACAGTAGTTGACGTGGGAAATTCTTTTGCGCGATCGATGAGAGCGGTGTCACTCGAAGGTTTTACGTGTACTGCACTAATAGCACTATCCCGCGTTGTGGCCTCAAAAAACTCGACCGGCTCCCCTTTCGGTTACTACCCGCAAAGTCAGTGGGCGACGTTGAGAGGACCGGGTAAAAGGTACGCCGGACGTTTCTCGGCGTAAATGAGGCATGTGAGACGAGCGCGAACGCGAGGAGAACTTTGCTACTGGCGTGAAAGTCGAGCCATATTTGTGCCTACTGGTTTACTAACTAGTCCCGTTTAGCTCAGTTGGTAGAGCGCGTCACTAGTAACGTGGTTGTGAGAAAATCACAGTACATGACGAGGTCAGTCGTTCGAGTCGGCTAATGGGAATTTTTTTTCTTCTTTCACAAAAGCGTCCACTATCATTGGTCGCCCATGCCAGGCGAGGCGGGATACTGATAACGTACAGAGAAAAACGAGGTATTAAAATTGCAATGTTCATCGGAGATAATACAGCACAATGTCCTCGTACTATGGATATCACTGAGACGGTCGAAGATAACAGGCTACAGATACCGATGGAAGAAAATGGGGGCAGGGACGAGATATACAAAGATGTAAAAATACACAGGGGCGTACGACAGCGACAGAGGAGGCAAATGTCCACGATGCATTCAGTTCATGGGCTGGCCGGCAACCATATAAGAGGAGGCTGTTGTGTCCGTTGCGCAAACAAGGTCCGCTCGCGAGTCCGAGTTCTATATCTTAGGTCTTACTGTTACTTATAAGTACTCACGCTTTCATCCTCATCCTTGTGTTGATAATTGGGGGCTGCACATCCTAGATGAATCGCACGTGCCAAGCATCTGCGCCGTTTGCGGCGTGCTGGAGACCAGCAAAGGTGGTGCGTCCGCCGAGGAGATCAAAGCGTCGCAGGCCGGCGGGATCGTGCGTGACTCTGTTGCGCTGGCTGAAACTTGACGAAGCCGCCCGCTTGTGGTTTTCACTTGGGAGCTGATTGTAGTCGGTCTGACTGGCACACTCAGACAGCTTCGCGTAGATGGCATGGAGTACGTCGCGCACGGTCACGGCGTGGCCGCGCGTGCCGGAGGCGTAGAAGCAGCCACCTGAGACGCCTGGAATTTCAAGAATGAGACTGGGCGCGTGTGTCGAGATCGCAGGCTCGTTCATTGCGTGGGGGTTGCAGGCAGGATGGAGGCACGCCGCGGACGGTGGTTGGACAGCGTTGAAGTTCAATTGGGCTGGCCGGTGGCCAGTATAGACCAGTAGCTCACTCAATACAGCATACCTAGAACGCTCGGGGCTCACAGGGGGGGTGGGCAAAGAATCTGGAAAACGGAACCATTTTCATGTTAGTTGGTGGAAGATGACGTAAATCCGATGGGCGCACATTGGTGTTGAAGAAGTGGGGGAAGCGGGACCGTGCCGATGTGTGGTGCACCCGGTGTTGAGGGAAAGTGCGATGTGTAGGCGTACCCGGAGTGCGTCGCGGAGGACCTGGCGGACCCTGGTGGGGATGGTAGACTCACCGGGCTCAGAACCGGGGTCACGGGTAGCGGCACGCCACCGCTGCCGGAGACAGTGCTCCCGGTCAGCGTGTTCAGTGACCACGCGGGGCTGGACACAAAGGAGGATTGCTGGTGCTTGGACGAATGAGAAAAGGGCATGGCAGTGAGTCAACACCAGTCAAAAGATGGAAGAACGAAGTGTGGGGGGTGAGACTCGTGAGAGGCGGGAGAAGAACGGGGCGGGATTCCTGGGAAGTGACTCGCGACGCTCGGTAGACTTATATATACCGGTCCCGCCATGTTGATAGGCGAACACAAAGTGCAACAATCATTTACGGATGGCCGACGCGGCGATGGGCGCGAGGGGCGCAGCAGGGCGGAGGGTAAGTGGTCGGGTGAGTGGTTGTTATTGACCCAAAAGAAGCAATACGTGCGCTGATCGAACTTTGATGGCGGGCACCCCGACGTCGGGATATATCCTAATATGGAAGGGAGCGCGCAACTCCTTTCCAGCCGACTACCCCGATTTGTCTTTGTACGCCCTGGCGCCCTGAGGTGTACTGTATACAGTACAAACAACAAGATCGCATCGCATCATTTATTTCCTGCCAAACTCCGAGGGGCCCATAACCCAACCCCGCGCCCAGTTGACTCAGTCCAATGGGTGTCCCTGGATAGTGACGCATCGGGGCCGTGTGGCACCGTGGCAAGGCTGTGGGTTGTGAGAGTACCGTATTCTGATTTGGTTGTCTGAGTCGGTGAGAGCGCTGCACAGGGGCAAAACGAGTCCCCTAGTTCTGCTGCGGTTAATTAAATTAACGAAGGTGTTGTAATAGCTTAGAGTCAATGTGATCTTATGGGCAAACCAAATCAGGAATGTTTGTTTAATAGGTATGGTCATTAAGCAATTGCCTCTAGCTTTACATTGTAACGTAGCACCTCCCTAAGCCGAAAAACAGAAAGGAGGGCAAAAGAAAGACGGATACTAATATCAAAGGAATGCTGGGTACGGTATTCGAGGTTATGGGTGCATTGTGTCCCGGAGCTCATAATGAACCCCTTTGTGAACACTCTGATATATGCCTCGCCACGAAGTGTGCGCAGCATAGCGCGCGAGGCGGCGCGCCTGTGAGTTCGAGTAATAAAAGAAAACGGTAACAGAAGGGAGAGAGGGGTAAGACAGGAGAGAGCCGGTCGCGTCGACAAGCAGAGCGAGAGGTTTTCGGGACAAGGGCGAGATGGATCCCGCGGCGCGAAGAGAGAGAAGGGTTTTGACTTTGTAGGAGGGAAAAATACCCAGAGTGATGGGTGCTTGCCTCCGAGGATGCTTCTCTGGGGTTTATATAGCTGCGCATGTACGGCTAGTTACAGAAGCGAGTAATCTATCTGTCAATAGCAGGTAATAAGCAGGTTCGGAATGAGACAAAAGGTGAACGCTACGGATGTCCGGACACGAGTAAGCAAAGTAATTTACGTAGGTTGTTATATGTGACCGCATGGCGAGGAGGGGACATGAAGGCCTCATCGAGCGCTGACTGTCAGGCATAGGTGGGTTAGATCGAACTAGAGACAAAGGAATGTGAAAATGTGTAGCGATGACACGGCGAGAAGGGAAGTGGTGGTGAGTGCCAGTGGGTCAGAGTTCTATGACGAGGCGCGAACGAGATTACTAAGCAAGGGTAGCACCGGGCCAGCGGCATCAGCAAATTGGTCAGAAAATCATGAACCCTCATGAGGTGTCATGAAGTCCAAAAAGGGCAAAATGCCCCGGAATCCCAACCCACCTTCATGATGCATTTTAATGAAACCCCCTTTTTTGACAAATTGCCGAAATAGTTTATGGACCTTGTGATGAATTTCTGAGTTTATAATGACTTTTGGCTGTCATGAGGGATTATAGATGTTCATAATATATTTTGGGGGTTTATGAGACTTTTCGGGATTTATGAGGCATTTCAGGACTCATGAGCCTTTTTGAGCGTTATGAGGCATTTTGAGCATTATGAGGTGTCTCGTAACTTAAGAAACATTTTGAGGCTTATGAGCCCTTTCGAGATTCATGAGGCATTATATTCATAAACAGTAGCACTATGGACAAAATAAACTAATACCCAGTGTTTCTCATGTATACAGCATGTGCCACACTCTTGCAATCTCTCGCGCGCTGTGTGCGCGCCCTCGCCTCCACCACTTGTCATTCAACACCTCCATCTACCACCGTGCTACGTGCCCACGCTGTGTGCGTTCTCACCTCCGTCGCTCATTGCACAGCACTTGCTGTTGCTGTGTGTACTGCCGCCGGGCCACACGCATGCGCTCTGGCCTCCGCCGTTTGTCGTGCAGCGCCTGCTTCTGCTGGTGCTGGTGCTGTGCGTGCCGCCACCAGGCCTCTGCAGCCAGTCACGCCTCTTCACCCTGGGGTTGTTGGTCCCTTGCACGTTCTGCTGCCCTGTGGTGGCACACTGCGACACGTTCCTACATGTGCATTTTACTCCGCGCGTTGGGATTGTGTGTGTGTGTGTTTTGTCAGTCACCATGAGGCGGTGCGTGTAAGACTGGGAACACGGACGCACCATATGTTCCTCCTTCTGGCGTGGCCGGCGGTCAGCATTGTGTGCATTGGCAAGCTCGGTGACGGCGAGGACAGCAGCGGAGGGTGTGTTGGGGTTCGCGAGCTCGCTGACAATGTTGCCAGGTTTGAGGCCTTTTTCAGGGTGATTTCGGCTAGCACCTTGTCCATAGTCGTCCACAACCCACCGTCCATCTGCAAATAATAATAATTTTGAAAGTTTTAGCGAAAGACAGGGAGAGAGAGAGACGGTACAACAACATACCGATGAGCGTTTTTGTGCCGTGGGATTTGAACACGCTGCACGCAGTGATGAGCATAATGCTGCGTGTGCGCAGGTGAACAGAACTATGCAACCTTCTCCAGTGGCGAACGTGTCTAGCCTGAACAGGGTGCGGGTGGGACCGGGATGTATCTAGAGATCAAGTATATGCGTGGTGGCACCCCCTGGTGAGCGATGAAGGAAACAGGGAAGTACTGTATTGGGAACACGCGATTACTAATACGCACCCAGTCGCATACACCCGCCTCGAGGTCGATCTGAACACTGCGCGGTCAACGGCCAAGTGTGAGCCAAGTTTCCTGACCTCCGAGTCGATGAGGAACTCTTTTTTGGGTTGAGCTTGTGTCGCTGCATCGTGTTGTAATCACTGTAGCTATTACAATAGAAAAAAGAAAACGTTAGCAAAAGAAAAAAGAAAAAAAAAAAGCACACCGGAAGCTTGGGAGGCATTACCTCCCAAGCCTCTACCTGTTTGTTTCATTCCCTTGTGTTTGACCACTGTTTGTCGCCGTCACTGGAGGTCGCGATGGATATATGCGGTGTCATTGTGACTTGAAGGTTCTGAGCCCAAAAAGGCAGGCAGGTCACGTTGTCACTGTCACAGGTTGGCCCAAGCCAGACCCATGCACTCACAGTCGAAGGTATGTGGTGGAGGAAGGGGAAAGAGAAGTGCGATTATCCTGTGATCAATAGTTATACCTGGCCACTCCGCTCCCGTCTCTGAGGCACGTGCTCTGGGATTGTCAGCGTGCTGAGACCGGTCCGGCACGGTATTCCCACGGCACGTGCTTACCTCAGAGACGGGAGCGGAGTGGCCAGGTTTTTCTATGTCCCCGGAAACCTCCGAGTACTCCTTTTCGCTGTTGGTATCATTGCTAGTACCCAACACTTGCTTGGGTACATTCTCTGTGTCTTATAAATAGTGTGTAGGACTGATGGATATTTTCGAACCCTGAGTCTCTGGCATAACGCATGCCCTGCTGAGACTGTTTCCACTCTCCAGAAGGCC